TGGCATGCACAGTATTGTACTCCAAGGAACAGTCAGTCCCACCGAAAGCTGTGATGGAAAGTTCCCCACCAGGATGCTCCTTGATGTAGTCAGTGACGTCTAGCACTTCGCCATTAACGACGATCCAACAGTCGTTGGGGGTGCCATGCCTGGCGACCTCTTCCATAGTGATACCATCACTAACCTTTCCAATGATGAGATCCCTGTACTGTTCCATCATGCTCTTATCGTGCACTGTGTTGAACTCTAGTGAGCAGTCGCAGCCAGCGAAGGCAGTGATGGCCAAAGACCCCCCAGGGTGGTTGGGTAGATACTTGGTGCAGTCTATGACATCACCGTTTACCACGATCCAGCAATCGTCAGGCTTGTCGTGCTTCTTCACTTGTTCGAGAGTGAAAGTACCCGACATAAAAAAAGCATCGACGAATAGCTGCGAAACGCATGAGATAACGGGCCTGTCGAGTTCGCCGACTAAGCATTTTCTGTTGCTTACATATACACTGGCCCTGTCACTTAGGCTCCTAAGTTAACGTGGCATTGCTCCCTACAACGACTACTTCATGATCTCGCTGCGCCCATTACGCACAAAATACCAACTTAGCTTTTTCAGGATCTCGCTGCGCCCTAAAATGGGCTGTGGGGTCAGTTGTATTCTTGAAAGAAACTACGCGCAACCGGTCCGCTATATTCTTTCAGCAACCGACTCTTCAGCGAAATGAGCTTTTGCTAAGTAGATCTACTAGGAGAAGGGGCAAAGCTGATGTATTTAGCAGCTCGGAAAGGGAAGCACAGGTTCGAACTACTACACGAAGGTCATTTTCAACGCAATTATTTTGTAGCTCATCCAACACTGATTGATGGTCAATGTACTGTACATTCGGGTATATGACGTACATTCTGTGAATGTACTGTGCATGTACATCATGCTAGCAAAGCGTAGATGTCACGCGGTACCATTAATGGCATTAATTGCATCAAAAGCTTGCCTGATCAACGACGTGGACAATACTGTGCTGCCCTTATCATCTGTTTCTGTGGGATAAGATTCTTGGGATGACTCAAATGGGTCAAACTCGGTTCCTGACCTTGGCTCCACCACCCGGAGCGACGAACAGGACTCGTTCATCGGATAGTCAAATTTTCGTAGAGTTGAAAAGTCCATTCTTGGGGTTTGGGAGAAATTCATGGAAGATGCCACGAGATCTCTGTGAAAATTGACGTGCGGCCAATTGACGGCGAAAGATCATTGAGGAGTGCTCAACATAACAAGAAGCCTGGCAGTACGTATATACAAAGCGTGATCGATATTCACGTGAATACGTAGCTTTTTCTTCAAAAACCCGATCCAATGAACAAGGGATAGATGGTTTCGATGAGTTATCACACCAGAGTTATTAGGTCTCATGAATAGATGTTATCTCAGTGTTTCAAACACTCACTAGTCTCCGTCACGTCTTCAATGAACGTTGAGTTCTCGGGACTTGTACACCCTATTTTATCCTTGAAACTTATAGTGTGAGCTCTATACCATTCGAAAGCTCTACCAATTCCTTATCTTATGAGCTCCGTACCCTTCCTATGATCATATATTAAATGGTTAAGATCAGCTCTGGATAAGCTCATGGAGGGGCTGCCAAATCGTCAGCCCGGTCATTGGCAAACATGCCAGTGTGTCCGGGACCCTAGCTGAGAGTCACGCTCTTCGACAGCCCGACTAAGAGCAGAATGATTCGTCTTGCTTTATCCAACTTCGTGGATGCTCAGCGCGATGACAGGACCTTGAGCACCGCTTGAGAGTCCGTAAAGATCCCCCAGTTTTCACCCGAAACAAGGTATGCCGACATATCTCTAATATAGCGAACCGCTTGAAGAACGCCGAGCACTTCACATTCCATAATAGTAGCGTAAGTTGCAAGCTTCCAGCAATCAGCCTTCACTTCCAAACCCTTACGATACACTACCACGGTAGTACCACCGGTCTTGATGTCTTAGCAATACCATACCAATCCATCGGTGAAGATGGTGTTGCCGTTGCGGTAGGACCCAGTAGCGTAGCGCTGAGCTTTCGAGCGCTCAGAAATCACCGTCTTGAGCCGTAGCTGCCACGGGTCACTTGGTAAAGTTTGTTTCATCAGGGCAAAGGCAACTGTACATGGGGTCTTCTTCCGCTGGGCACCGTGGTTCGATTTTCCTGAACCCACTCCCGTATCAACGGCTACACGCAACCCAGCAGGCAGCCCAAGTGCTTCGTCTTCTCCGGCCCCTGAAGTGGGGGGAGTGGTTGAAGTTGATTAAATGCCAGACGCCGGTGTATCTTCCTCGGTCTCGAAGAATAATGCGGGTTGCAGCGCAGACCCTCAGCAAATGCACGCGCAACTCACCCACAAGTTCTTGGCATCATTCCCCGATGGCGTCACCTGCACCAATATGTATGAAGGTGAGTGGTATGGGGGACGGGGGGGGAGATAATACCTTATCCGAGGAAGGAGAACTGCAAAGCCTATGAGAATCTATATGCTGACCTGAAGACTAAGAGTAACCACTATGCGATTTATCAACTTCGGAGTATGGCATACTTGCGGGCTCGGTAAGCTCAGTATGGAGAGCCCCTTGTGTTACACCAGTTACGGGACAGCTTACACCGGGATCTGAACTCATCGACGACATCTAGAAGCTCTAGGCTAGAACAACGCCATGGACCAATCATCACAACCACCAACCTTCTCTCGGGTGACCCCGCGGAGCCCAGCGCCCAACTGCATGATTTCGGGGAACGATAACGGGAGGCGTGTAGAAGAGCTAAACTCATAACACAAGAGGGAATGGTGATGATTGAATACGATGATAAAAATGCAATAAACTTTTGTATTGGTAGAAAGAAGATCATCGCCGGTTGCAATGCCAAATTGAGTAATTCCTTTTTTTCAGGGCAATGCCCTAAGCCGCATCTTTAGGGCCGTATCCTATACTAAGCGGTGCTCAGGGTTGTGAACGAATGTTCCTATGCTAATGTACCTTGGAAGTTGTGGTGATAGTATTCGGACTTTTTTGAGTGGGATCGCCTCAAGCCTTCAGCTCACTACAGCAGTGATAGGCAGGTCCTATCCAATATCAACTCGAGCAAATTCTATCAAATGCTTAGATTGTCTGACATACGACGT